AAATCACCATGCAAAAAGGCATTTTTGATATCAAGCTGATATAGGGGCCAATCATACATAGCTACAAGAGAGATCACAACACGAACCGACCCTATCTTAGCAACTGGGGAGAAGGTCTCTGTGTAGTCAATACCATAGGTTTGGGAGTACCCTTTTGCAACCAATCGCGCTTTCAGGCGCTCAACACTACCATCAGGCAGATACTTAATGGTATAAACCCACTTACAATCGACAACCTGCTTTCCAGGAGGCAGAGCGGTGAGGTCCCAAGTATGATTATGATGTAGAGCTGAGAGCTCTTCTTCCATTGCACGACACCACCGAGAGGCAAGGGCTTCCTGGACATCCTTAGGGACAACCACTGAGGATAACAAAGAGATAAACTGGTGATGGGAGGCGGAAAGGTAAGTGAAACATGATTATAAATAGGATGAAGGGTGAAAGTGTGTTTACCTTTTCGCAAGGCAATGGGAAGATCAAGATCAGATACTGGATGCGGGCCTGGAGTCGGATCTGTCGACAGTGATGGAGCCGGAGGAGTAGCAGCCGGTACACGTGGGCTATGTGTATACACTTGACGGATAGGTGGGCGTTCAACAGGTGGTGGCACTGGAGGCAAGGACTTAGTCACGGCTGGAACAAGGGGAAGAGGATCGGCAACTGAAAGTGGAAGAGGAGGAGGCGATGAGGAGGAAGAAGCATTACCGGACCCCAAGAAGAACGGAGTTGGCTCAAAGAAGGTGACATCAACACACACAAAGGAACGACGAGAACTAGGATGGTAACACATACCCTTTCTGGGTCTGGGAATAGCCAAGGAAGATGCACTTACGGGATCGTGCATCTAACTTGTCGTTCCCGGGGCCCAGATTATGGACGAAGCAGACACACCSAAATACCCGAGGAGAAAGCAGAAACGGAGACAAGGTGGGAAACAAGACATTAAATGGGGAATGACCATCAAGGATAGACGTGGGCATCCGATTAATCAAGAAACTAGAGGTAAGCACCGCATCACTCCAAAGGGGTTTGGGAACATTCATGTGATGCATGAGGGATCGTGCTGTTTCTAAGAGATGGCGATTCTTTCTCTCAGCCACCCCATTTTGTTGTGGGGTATAGGTACATGAGGTCTGATGTATAATGCCATGTTGGCCCAAGTATTCTTGAAATGATGAAGATAAATATTCACGGCCATTATCAGAACGAAAAATTTTAATGTGAACACCAAATTGATTTCGAATCTCAGGATAAAATTTCTGGAAGATGGTAAACAATTCACTTCCTTGTTTCATTAAATAGAGCCACGTCATCCTTGAAAAGTCATCAGCAAAAATAACAAAATATCTATATCCATTGTATGACATCACTTTATAAGGATCCAGTAGAAGTTCAGGACTGTTATCAGTCTTGAACCCTAATGGATTTCAGGATCGAAAATAAGAAGAAAGGTAAGAGGAAAGAAGAGGAAGAGGGAGGAGAAGC